CCTCTGATGAAGAGCAGCGGAGCAAGGCTTGTCGCTTTGATCGTCAGGATGTTATCGAGTTACCAGGTGATCGCAAGAGGCAGCGATCAACTGTATCAGAAGGAAGTGGCAATCCGCGGCCTCATGTTGCTCCTTGTTTGCCGCATGTGCCCGACGAATCGTCAGAGGACGCGAGAGGTACGGAGTCCGAGCAGAGTACTGCAACTGATGATGAGGACGCGGAGGCCGAGCATGAGGATCTATTGTGGACATTTGTCTTTATGGAAAAGGAAGCCTCTTCTGCCGCCCATGTGTATCTTGGTGGACAGGTTCCGGCGGTGGAGCTGACGAGCGCGGACCTGGACGAGCCCATCAGCATTGAGTTTCCGCGCAGACAGGCTTGGCGACTCGGGCTTATTTCGAGCACGATGGCCAAGAATTGCGCGCTGGTAATGAATGTTTTCAAGACCCAGACTTCGCCGGTCATCGAGCGTGATCTCAATGACCTCTCGGCAGCAGAAATGAAGAAGCATCATGAGTTGGCTGTGGCCGCCAAGCTGAAGGAACTCAAGCGTTGGGTGTCTCGTGGTATGATTGAGTGGACGAACAGACAATCGTATAGACTCGCGCTGGGTTATCAAGTGGAAGACCATCGGAGGCCAGCGAGATGTCAAGGGCCGTCTCACCGTGAGAGGTTTCAAGGATCGTCAGAAGCATGAGAAGGATCGAATCAGGGCGGCTGCGGGAACTGCTTCTCGCTGGGGTCAAAGAGCGATTTGTTCTATCGCAGCTCAGCATGGTTGGACACTGTGGTCACTTTTTGTTTCGATGGCCTTTCTTCGTGGCAATACGTTTCAGGAACTTGCCGAACGGTTTGGATTCAAGATGCGCAGTCTTCAGTTTGACCTACCTCCTGATGGCGCGGCATTGCTAAAACAAATAGAAGTGTTCGAGAATTTCAACGAAGTCAGGGAGACGCTGGACATGAAGAAGCCTGGTTTTGGTACGAATGACGCCCCATGGGCGTGGCAGGTCGATTTGTCAGATACCTTGAAGGAGCTGGGCTTCTTTCCTACCGAGGCGGATCGGCAGCTGTGGCTGCTGTTCGACAGTGCAGTGTTATTGGCTGTTCTCGGCACTCATGTTGATGATCTGAAGGGCGCCTGCAGTGATGATACACGGGAGTGGATATTTGACAAGTTCCGTGAGAAGTATGAGGACGTGACGGTGAATGTCGCACCGTTTGAATGCGTTGGCACACAGCACTCACAAGACGGAGTGGGCAAGGCCATCACGATAGATCAGAAAGACCTCCATCGAAAGACGACGCAGAGCTGATGGTGTGGTGCACGCCGGCACGGGGCACATATGCGAATGGGAGGACGTGTTCTGCCTTGCTTTCGGCGCGGCTTGGAGGGCCACCCGGGACTCGTGCAACGGTTTGCCGGAATGGCGGAAAGTATTCCTAAGGTTTTTGGACAGCATTTGCAAGATCTGGCAGATTCTTGCCGCCGCGGCGTTGGAGGTCGAGCCGAGTGAGGCCTATGAGGGCTGGCGCGCTAAGCGCCCCAAGCGGGACATGTATGACTTCGACGAGTGCCCGACGGCTCACGGGGACAACCCGCCCGCAATGCCGCTCGAGCATCCGCGGGGCTGCTTTGCTTGCGTGGTGGACTACAAGCCTTTAGCGGCAGTGGCTTGCGGACGCCCCCCCTCTCGCCGACGCGGCCTTGCCCCCGGTATTCGAGCGCATCGCAGAGAACGTGTTTCACCTGATAGATTCCGGCTGGTCCCCAGCCGAAGAAATTGGCGATCCAGTCTTATGGCACCGACGCGAATACAACAACATAGCCGATTTCCGAGTCAATTGCACCATGGAGTGTCGCAGGAGTTGGCTCAAGGAGGTGCCTCCTGCCATGCCGCATTTTTCTTCTAACGATGCCAATGTCATTTGCCATTCAGACGGCGGCGCGCGCCGCGACTGCTGCTCAGCAGCAGCATGGGTCATCGAAGCTGTCGAAATCAGAGGGGTTTCGTCATATCTTCCCAGTCGCCTTCCGGGGCATATTTTTCGCTACGCCTGTGTCTTCTTTCGCGGCCCAGACAGTCGCATTAGACGACTGCATCGCGCACCTCGCCAAGTTTATTTGCCCATCCAACTCTGCCAAGCGTGCTCGGCTGATTTAAATGCACTTCGCGGTTGTAGGCTTGTCATAGTACGTGGCACGAGGCGTCCGAAAGAAGATAGATCAGAATCCGTCTGTGTCTCAGCTCAGGCCGATCAACGCAGCGTTGTTCACAGGCAAGCCTGACGAGGAGCTGGTGGACAGTGCGTCACAAGGTATGCATTGGAGTCTCCTTGGTGGCGTGGCCTGGCTGACGCCTACGAGAGCTGATATTGCTGTGTTTGTTGGTCGATTCCAGAGGCATAGTCAGAAGGTCACGGTCGGAGACATACAGGGGCTCAATACGTTGTTGAAGTGGATCAAGAGAAAGCCGTTCTTTATCAAATATGCCCCTCTGGAACCACGGGTATGCTTGTGTGTTATAGCTGAGTTAACCTATCGTGCTGGCGATGATGATTGCTTGGCGATTCGAGCTGTCATTCTTGTGATTCCAGGTGGGTCGATGCACGCGCTTGGTTATTATAGTCGTAAACAGCCCAGAGTGACGCGCAGTACGTTTGGAGCGGAATTTACAAATCAGTTGGAAGCTTGTGAGCTGGGTATGTTGCATCGTGGTTTCTGGCATCAAGTTCTGACGGGGTCCCGTGGTGCTAAAGAACTACATGGGGCAGTTAATGCCAACGTTATTGAGATTTGTTTGTATCTCGTGGGCGACGCTCACGCTGCATTTACAGCCATCGCTGCAGAAGAGATTGCAATGCCAAGTGATCGGAGTCAACTGTATGCTGTACGTGCTATGCGAGACGACTAGAATGTGGATCGTTGGCAGGACTGCTCAGATGCGATGCCAGAGATATGCTTTGCGATGCACTCACGAAAGGTGGAGTGGCACGAAATGCAGTTGTGGAAGTGTTCGGCACCGGCATGACTATCAAAGATCAGATACACTTGTGGCCGAATCCTAGTGTTTCTTGTTAAAGAGTTGTGCGCGAATGCTGCCCAATACCTGATCTTGATCTGTTCAGGTTGTGCGAATGCTGTCAGGATGCCTGATCTTGATCATGTGACGTGTGAGACGATCGTGGACGACCTGGTATTGACCGACCCTTTCCATGTGAATTACGTAGAGATGTTGTTGATGGGGGGAGGCGTCTGCGACATGGAGATGGTGCCAGAGTCGAATAACTTGTTGCTGGCCCTCTCCTGATGCCCTCCCCGTCGCCCGTGGCTGCCTCGGCTCGAGGTGGCCAGCCAGTTTCACTTACTTTGCTGTGAAGAATGATGTTGTGGCGCGGTCTCGCGCTGTGTGCTTGAATAAGATCATCCTGATCTACTGCGAGGCTGCCGCCACACCGCTGATTCGATCTTCATATGTACTTACAATTTGCTCCATGGCGGAAAGTGGCCCATTGCAAGACTTCCGTCTGAAAATCCCAAATCGCGCCAACACACTATTCCTGTGACTTTCACGCCGCAGATCAACACGACTATTGCATCCAGCAGTTCCTAAATCGCGCCAGAACGCCGTTCTTGGGATTTCAACACCGCGACTCATCATAATTTTTGCGCCCTGGCAATCCTTAGCCGTGCCAGAACACTATTCCCGGGACTCCAACCATACGAATCCTCGAAGCTGTCGCAAGAAAATGCAGTCGAAGGTGCGCGGCGCCAGGGCGAGACCCACAGTTTGGAAGCGACCCGCCCTCCATCCGTGAAGCCGCCGCACACTGCTTAAGACGAGTGTGTGCGGTGCTAAGGCGAAGGCCACATTTTGAAAACCACCCGCCCTCCATCCGTGAAACAGTTGGAAGTGTCAAGCTGTTTGGCTGATGTTTTTGCGAACCGCGCGATGGATATCGGACGCACTTGGGGCACGCAGTGGCCTCTTCCACCGTACTTGCGGGATATGCGGCACAACGTGTTCTTGCAGTCTGACAGGGGGGACAAAGCCGCGGCAGCATGGGCCATCGTGGCGGCATGTAGCGAGGAAGTACACACTCTGGCAGCTGAAGGGGTGCATTTACCGATCAACAAGTCATCCTTCACAGCCGAAGCCATTGCATTAGAAAATTGTCTAAACAGTTTGAGAAGATAATGTGAGACCAGCGCGTTGCCAAACTTTAAGTGAGGACGGTTGCTTGGGTAGGCGGTATGGACAAAGATATGTTACGGCTAGTGGGACCCCGCACTGCGCCGAGAGGAAAAACTTCACGTCCGTAAATGGTGAATAAGTCTCAAGCGAAGCGCCCGGCCCGCCCTACCAACACTTCTGGGTTCTGGGGGTGCGAGAATGAGGAGTTTTTTAGATGGAAATGGGATGGAGCAGGAGGAGGAGGAGGAGGAGGAGGAGGAGGAGGAGGAGGAGGAGGAGGAGGAGGAGGAAGAGGAGGAGGAGGAGGAGGAGGAGGAGGAGGAGGAGGAGGAGGAGGAGGAGATGGAGGGGGAAGAAAGGGTAGGAGGGGGAGGAAAGGGAGGGGAGTGCGTCCTTTTGCATTCGATGCATTGGCGGCGCTACCGTGAGGTACTCTGCCACTTGGGAGCCCAAAGACCCAGTGCTCTGCCTTGTACGAGAGGCGCTGCCCGGTGCTCTCGACACCCGCCCAGGGGACCAGGCTTTCCTCCTGGATCGCTTCTCGACGGCCTCTGAAGCCCGAAAACGGGCGCGGAGGCCCAACGATGCGAGCAGAACGCCGCCCTGACTTCTCCAAGACGATGGAGGCCCTGCCGCTTGCCAGGGGTCGGCCTCCTCCCGATAGGTTCTCGGTGGCGGTGGTCCCTCCTCCTCTGAGCTTGCAGTGCGTCCGCGGCAGCAGCGAGTTCCCGCGAGCGCCGCCGCCAGAATCGGCGGGTGTCGGCGGTGGCGGCGGCCAGCAGCGGCCAGCCCGCCTGGGGCAGGCGCGGCGGCGGAGGCCGTGCCGGCGGCGCCAGTGCCTGGAGACGCAGGGCCAGCCCGCCCCCCCTCGTCTCTTCGGTTACGTGCGCGTGAGATTGGCCCTTCGCTGGAGTGACCTTTGGTGCGGGCCCACAGGGGTCCCCCCAGCACTGGGCTGCGTGCTCGGATTGGGCCATCTCGCGGCCCCCGAAAGCCGCGCACCAGAGGTCAATCTTGCTTGAGGTCACTCTTGCCTGTAGCCTGTAGCCGATCTCTCAGCATCGTCCACCCGATCCCCATGCTCACTGGGCCGTGCGTGGCTCAGAGGAGAAGCAGATTCGGGTCGGACGAAAGGGGGGAATAGGGAAAGGACGGGCGCGAAATCTGCTGCACGTAGCTGGTTTGCATGTTGCTGGTTTTCGTCCCCGCCGCCAGGCGCCTTCCTCATACATTGGCGCCTCTGGCGCTTGGAAGCGCCGGGGAAATCAACTGCGCGAGATTCGCCATCCCCGCGTTGCTAAACCCCTCCTTTCGTTCGACCCGACACGGGTCACGGTTTAGAAGAGAGACAGGGGCCACCGCCACCGAGAACCCACCCGGGGGAGGCCGACCCCCGGGCGGTGGCACGCCTGAGCGCTCCTCCGGGGGCCCTTGCCAGACATCCAGAGCGTCAAGAGAAGGATGCACGGCAGCACGGAGAGCTGGTCCTGTGTAAGGGGCCGAAATCTCCAGGGTCCGCGTTATGAAAATATCACGACGTCGGGGTCCAGGGAGAGGAACACGGGGGACAAGGGGCAGGAAGCGGATGAGGAAGGGGAAGGAAGACGGCTATGGAGCAAGTCATGATTGATGGCAGACTACACGACGCCAGCATCTACTAGGCACTAACTACGCGACGCGCCATCTCCAGATGCATCCTCGACCTCTGTTACGATACCCTCGACATGCTGTATGCTTTGCGTTATCAACTCCGCTGACGGCATCTACGGCAATATAATTACCACCACCAACGTCGAGCAGACGTTCTTTCTCCGCTTCTTCTGGTCTCTGGGTCGGCCGGGATGGCTGTTGAATTTCGTTCTCACGATCTACCGAAACAATCGGTCTCATATGCAAATGAGCGGAGTCCGGTACGATGGCTTCCAGCTACCCAGGGGTCAGATTGCCTTCTGTCTCCCTTGCTTTTTGCGGCGTGTTCAGACCTGTAATTACCTTTGCTGGTTTCAACGGACCATCCCGGTCAACACGGTCCAGTATTTCGCGGACGACCTCGCCCTCATGACCGCTGACTCGCGTGGCAAATTGCGGATGTTCCAGCAATTCTTCTCCGACTTCGAAGCGGTTTTCGGGCTGTGGGGCTCAAGGCTTGTACGTGTAGCCAAGGCTTCGCCTCCTGGGAGGCGCCGTAGCGAAAGTACATCGGGCGGGCGACTCTCTGGGGACGTCTGAGCGTTGGCTTGCTCTGACCCTCCAGGTTTACCGTGCGTACATTTCCTCAGTCCTCCGGTTCTTGGGCCAAGCAGAGGACCCTCCGCCGCAACCCCAGCAAAAGTAAGCTCAGGCCCTCAAGAAAATGACCCGCGGCCCGAGGATTAGATCACTGCGGAGTGCGCACATGAACGTAAATCCTTCGGTTTTTTGCGATCAGTTAAGGGACCTGCATTTTCAGCCTCCACAGCCCGCGCGGTTGAATGGGAAGCAGAAGGTCGCCCAGCACGTGCAGCAGCTCTTCTGTGGGAGTGCAGAGGCGTCGGTGCAACGGTTTCGCTGGTTGCACGCGTGGCGGGACAGTTGTTTCATTATTGCCCTGGACAACGCTGCGGAGCGCGTCGCTGCCCATCGCCGCACCAATCCAGAAGCCCCCTAGTGGCACTGCAAGGAGGGCTGGCAGAAATATGCCGTGGAGCATATGAATGGCACAGCGCGCGTGGACGCCCATATTCACTTCAGGAAGTAGCTTCGGCATCGGCCACTGGCTGGTCTAGCAGGCCACAGGCTGACACCGACGCTCCGCAATCTGCAGGTCGTCGGGCGCTGTTACCAGCCGCGGGTTTGGGCCGCAGTCTTGGTCTCCTACGCAGCGGGTGGTAGACGCGCTCCTAGAATGGCAGAGCTGGCCCTTGCAGGATGTGCAATGGCGGGAAGGACAGCACCCGACACTTCGCTTACTGCCCTGTTGCCCATACTTCGCAGAATCATGTATTGGACATCCCTCGACCCAAGCAGGGTTTCGAGCTCGATGGTCTGTCTGATCGGGGTGAACTGGCGTCGGCAAGGCGAGCGCGAAGTGGTTGATTTGGCCGTCTCCGCGCACGCCTGGCGCTCGGTCTACAACGGGCGCCGCCACGGCAGGCTCACGCTTCAGGACGTCAGCGGCGCCTTCGACAGTTCCTTGCGGGAGGCCCGCGGGCGGTCGACGGAGTAGTTTTCCCTCCGCTCCTCCTTCGCGTTGCCGCAACCGCCGGCCCCGCTCGTGTTGACTGCGTTTTCTCCCCTTCCCGCGCTTCCTCCTGCATGCCTGCATGCGGCGAACAAACTCTGGTGGCACTTGCCGAAAGGGCAAGCAGCCAGGGTCCCTTGGTGGGTCTGCGACCCGTGCTTCCTAATATGTTTTCCGTCTGGCAGTTTCCTCGCCTGCCCCCCCCCTGCTGCTGCGGTTGCTGCGTGTTGTTTGCCGTGGGTTTCCTCCTTTCTCCGCCTTCCTTCCATCTGCGTTCAGCTGCCGCCTCTCTCGCTCGCTGTCCTGCTCCTCTCCCCGCTGCTCTGCGCCTTGCCTGCTCTGTTGCTGTCTTCCTTCCTGTTTGTCTTCCGCGCTCCTCCCCGCTGCCTGCCTTCGCTTTTCTGCCTTTGCTGGTGTTGTCCACCGCGTGGCGATGCGTTTGTGCTGCCGCGCCACAGCCGTCGAAGCGTGCGGGGTGGGCGCGGGAATACGCAATCCACTTAGTCTTTCGGCGCGGTGCGTCCTGGGACTGCGACTTCAGTTTTAGCCGCAGGCTGTTCGCCTGCAGTGCAGCCGGGCTGGTGTGTTGCTCTCGAGACAAGTAACTGCTCGTTTGTGGTTCGCCCTAAATTTGTTACCACTAGCCACACTCCTTAGGGCCCTAAGTTTTTAAAATCGGGTTCGACCTGCATTCTGGAGGCTTTGTGTTCCAGTGTGAATGCTACAATCATGGAGATTCGTGGAGGTTTGCATTTCGTTGGATCATGTGTTCCGACTGCTACTTCAATCTATCCGATTTCACGGGCGCCTTGTTCGGTACCTACAGCCTCGGCTCCAACCTCTGGTCCTTTTTCGTTCTCATTCGTTCGGAGCTCTTATCATCTCGATCCGTCTAAATTCGTCGCGTGTTCTTTGGCTTGTAAAGCGACACATGTACTTCACATGATCCTCCCATTGCCAGCATTCAATCAGACATCACAGCCACAAGACTGTACCTCCGGGCGGCATGCGCTGTACAGGCGCCGGCGCCTACAAGTGCAATTGCACGTGGTTTCGCTGCCTTGTGCTGCACCGCTCCAGCTCGCCAGCGCGTGCCCATCCAGCTCACTTCCACTGTTTGCATATCCTTCGCCCCTTTTTGACTCATAAGGCAGCTGCAGTGTCAGCGCTCATCGCCAGCTGTTGGGTTCCAGCTTCAGTCTCTGCGGCACCAAGTGCGCACTCCACCGCCAGCGCACTGCTCAGCAACAGTCGTGCAGCCTCCGTCTAACCTACCGCCTACCGTCCCCTTGCTGTGATTCCCCGTTTCGCTCCCCCTCGAGGAAAACTTGCGTTAACATGAAGAAGCCTTAGAACTTCCGCGCGGATTTCATTAGTCGGCGCTGGACCCCACCTGGCGGCGCCTCCGTCGCCGCCCGTGGCGCGCTTCGCACGCCACGGGACGGGGTTTCAGGTTTCAGCCCCGACCCAAGAAGTCCGCGCGGATTTCTGGAAGGTTTTGTTTATGCATTTGTTGATTATATCATAGTTTGGAGGCGAGTTTGTCACGGCACTCTGTGGATATGGGATGCCAGCACTTCGCCCTGCAGTGCATCCAAAAGGCCTCTGTGGCCCGCAGCCAGTTTTGCAGAACGATGCCAGTGATCTCACCGGTGACGGAGGACCCAGGCCCTATTAGCCAATTGAGCTTATCGCATGATGTGTAGCTCACTCGCCCGGGGAGGCAGGCTTGGTGAAAGATCATACAGATCCTTACTCAACGTCGAATTCGCGTTATCCGCTGCCGGTTTTCCCGCCCATAGGGGCCTCACACTATGCTTGCGCATTCCGCGCAAGATTTGTCCCACATGTATTCGCTTGGCATTTTTTGCTTCACTGTTTCGACGTTTCAAGTCTTGTTCTTCGATGGGTCAACAGGCATTGAACTTGACGAATTGTCAGCCCAAACGAGAAGGAGAACAGGACAGGAGTTCGGAAACTGTGGAGTTGGGATCTGCGTTCCATCCGATCGCTCGATCGACCTTCGCCGTGACATCCTGGTCGCCTGCGGGGAGGTCGTGATGGGCAGACCTTTGGCGTTCAGGCGCTTCGAGTTTTCGGCCTTCGACTTTTCATTTCGTGCCTTCTTGCTGGCACCTTCAGATTTTGATTCGCGGAGGGGACGGAGCGGATAAACTGAAAAGGCGAGGAAACGAGGTCAGGCAGGACGGTCTGGAAAGGGGTTTGGACAGAAATTAGAGGAGGGCGTGACAGGGCAAGCAGCAAGAAAGCGGAGTTGGGAATACATGTCGGAGAAAGCGATTTGGTTGCCAAGGGCTTCTAGGGGGACACGTGGAGGGATAGCTCTTCACGCTAGTAACGAAGGACAGATCCAGGTGTAGACATCCGCGATCTTGCACACCGTTGTGCGGCAAACCGTTTCTTTCCACTGCTGCGTTCGGATGGGATATTTTCGAAGGGGAGATAAGGCATGTAGATTCTCCATCGGCTGCGCATTGTACCTGAATCGCGTCTGCTCTGCACGGTTGAACTGAATTTATTTGCATGCGGATATCGTAGCGTTCTTTCATACCCTAATTGCACGTGCATGCCCACAGATGCATGAGCCACAGCGACGCGCACACCGACGCACGATGTGAAGTGCGTGGGCGCCTGGAGTTGAGCTCCACGCGTGCTTGCGGGGTGAGATGCTCAAGATTACCCAGACGACGATACATGGACGATACCATTGGCGAACCGCCCAGCGATGAGGTGCCCAGACGACCATGCCGTATTCCTCTACATCCCCCGCTGCTTCTCGTCTTTGTCTTCCTGGGTCTGTGCGCGTGCCTCACACGTGTCTCCTGTGATGTTTGCGCTCGGGATGCGCCGCAGCCTCTCGACGAGCACCACCCTTGGCAAGTACGACTGCTCGGAGCGGGCGGGGGGGGGGCGGGGGGGCTTGGAACGAAGCAGGCAAGCGGAGCACGATGGACGCGGTTGAAGCGTCAGAGGAGAAGTTGTTTGGGGGATGTCCACATAAGGGGGAATCCAATGGTCGGCATCCCCAGTGCGAACACGGCGCTTCCTACGACATATGGCCAGCCGAACGCACGGTAGCTTGATCACGAAAGCACGATCGTTCGCCGCTGGATTTCGTAATCAACGGCCATTCCGAATCGGAGTATTTTGTTGACTGCATTTCGTGTGATCGGATTGCACGATTGTCAGGTGATCCGCACGGTTGCCATTGTCACCCGTGCTCATACCAAGCGAGTGAACACATAGGGTCTAGCCAGGTGTTAGGATGTTGCCAATTCGATTGTCAGCTTGCTTCTGAGTGAACAAAGAATGTGACGCAGGGGAAGATGGTCCGGTCTATAGCCTCGAGGGAGGAGTGTGGACTCGAAGAATGAAGGCGAAGCAGGACGTCGAAGGATAAATCTCGAAACAAGTTCTTTAAGTGAGGAAGCCCTGGAGCAATTTGAAATATTCCGAGGACCACATCAAAAACTCGAGTGAGAAACTCGGCGGAGCCTCTGGCCTCCGACGAATTGTTTTCTCCAAAAGGGCCTCCCAAGGGAGTTCTCGGTCCGCTCCCTGTCGCCCATGTTGGGGCCAGGAGGCGGCCCCCAGAGCCCGAAATGCGGACACATCATGTTCAAACAGCTCCCAATCCGCCAGCAGTTCTTCAGAAGTCTCGGGCGACGAGCGCGCTGGACTGGTCGAGGAGCGCACTGGACGAGGAGCGCGCTGGTCGGTCGCTGCCGCGGGCCTGGCTTTCTGCCTGCCCAGGGGGCTTTGGTCTCGCCGGGCCGCCTCGACGTCCCGGATTCGCGCCGCATCGGCCCCGCGGCGACGCTTGCGCCATCGGCCAAGGCTGAAGGCAGCTGGCGGCATGGACCAGACCGACCTCGAGCGATCTCCGCCGTGCGGTGTCAGGCTCCAACGTCACCGGGCCTCCGATGTCGCGATTTGTTCCCTGTAGGGTCCCGAAGTCCCTATCACTTCCCAGGCCAGGTACCGTCTTTTCATCCTGAGTCTGACCCACGGACTTCGAGAAGGGCGAAGCATTCATGTGTTCATGTTGTCACAAGGTTGGAGGCCTGGGCCCACGTCGATACGACGCGAGCCAGCCGTACGCGGGGCAGCTGCATTGGCGCTCCGCCCGCGGTTGCCCTGCCTTGCCGCAGGAGCAGTCGGAAGACCGATCCACGTGGTCCGCGCTGAAGATCGTCTGGTGCTGCCAGTACGAGGAGGTGGCCTGCGACCTAGCGGACAAGGCGAGCCGGCCTCTGGATCGACCCTGGCGTCCTGCGGATTTCTTCCCAACCATCTTGCGGTGCTGGGTCTTCGCTACGAAGAGACAGCGCCCCGCGTTTCCTCTCCTCTGCTTCTCTACCCTCCTCCCTCCCTCCTCCCATCCCTGCCTCAGCCCTCCGCATGTCGATTTCGGCGCACCTCCTACACGCTCCGTGGCCTTATAGGGAGCTCCACCGAAGCCCTCAGGAGGGGGGGGGGCCTACACCCCTCAGACGTCCCGTGGCCCCACAGGGAGCGTCAGCGAAGCCCCCAGGAGGAGGATTTCGCATGCGATTCCCCACCCAGTTCAGCACACACCCCTGGTGGCCCCACAGTGAGCGCCAACCCATTTCGGCACACCTCTCAAACGTCTCGCGACCCGCGACCCTACAGAGAGCCGAAGCCCCCAGGAGGGGGGGGTCGCATGCGGTTCTTACCCATTTCGTGGCCCCACTAGGAGCTCCACAGAAGCCCCCAGAACGGGGTCTCCCTTGCGGCCCTGACCCATTCTGGCGCACCCCTCACACGTCTCGTGGCCCCATGGGGAGCTCCACCGAAGCCCCCAGGAGGGGGGTTTCGCCTGCGGTTCGCATCCTTTTCGGCACTCCCCTCAAGCGCCTCGTGGCCCCATAGGGAGCTCCACCAAAGCCCCACGAGGGGGGTTCGCATGCGGATTCCCACCCATTGCGGTACACTCTTCACGCGTCTCGTGGCCCCACAGGGAGCTCCACCGAAGCCCCTCAGGAGGGGTGTTTCGCTTGCGGTTCTGATCCATTTCGGCACGCCCCTCAAGCACCTCGTGGTCCCACAGGGAGCTTCACCAAAGCCCCACGAAGGGGGTTCGCATGCGGTTCCCCACCGAAGCCCCTCAGGATGGGGGGTTCGCCTGCGGTTCTGATCCTTTTCGGCACACCCCTCCAGCGCTGCGTGGCCCAATAGGGAGCTCCACCAAAGCCCCACGAGGGAGGGGAGGTCGCATGCGGTTCCCCACGCATTGCGGTACACCCCCACGGACGCCCCCAGGAGGAGGGTTTCGCATGCGGTTCCCCGCCCAATTCGGCACACCCCATTTCGGCTCACCCCTCAAGCGTCCCGTGGTCCCACAGGGAACTCCACTGAACTCCCCAGGATGGGGGGGGGTCGCACGCGGTTCCCATTCATTTCGGCACAACCCTCACACGTTTCGTGGCCCCATAGGGAACTCCACTGAGGGCCCCCCTGGCACAGCTCACATGCGTCCCCAGGCCGATTTCGGCACGCCCGTCACACGATTCGTGGCCCCATAGGGAGCTCCACTGAAGGCCCCAGTGGCAGGGCCCGCATGCGCCCCCAGGCCCATTTCGGCACACCTCTCACGCGTTTCGTGGCCCCATGGGGAGCTCCACTCAAGGCGACGTCCACAAGCGCGGCATTCACGACTGGATACGCTTCGGTCCTTCGCTAAGACACCTTGTGTCTGCGTCCCGGAGGTTTCTCTTGATCGCGCCAGTCAGGGCCCCGGGGCCAGCACACGACCTCCGCGCGGTCCGCCTTGAAGCCTGCAGACTTAAGTCGGGCCCGTTCCTCTACAGGGGGAATATTCAAACATAGTCAGAAAATAGTCTGGGGACTATTTTTGGACAATGTTTGAGCACTTGGGGGGTATTTTTTGAGCATCTTTTAATTGTTCGCCCAAAGCCCCCCAGTAGGGGGACACGCCCGACTTAGCTGTAGACCGACCCTGGGCCCCCCTTCGCTGCGTGAGAGAAATCAGGGCGGAGGCTGTTGCTGGCGACCGTCGGCCTCCGGCGGCCCCTGCTGGGCCTGGGGCCGTCCGAGCAGCTGCCCAGGACAGAGGGAATGGCCCCAGGGAAAGAGTCGACACCTCTGGGCGTCCGCTGGCCTGCAGACCGACCCTGGGCCCCCCTTCGCTTCGTGAGGAAAGTCAGGGCGTTGTTGCTGGCGACCGCCGGCCTCCGGCGGCCCGGGACCGTCCGAGCAGCTGCCCAGGATAGGAAGAATGTCGGGGGCGGCAAAGAGGGGGGTGATGACTAGGGGGGGGGATATCGTGGCGTGGGCCATGATGTTTCCCCAGACTTCATGGCGCCTCTTCCTATTTCATTGCGTCCGTGCCCTCCCCCCCCTGGGCCCCGCACATGCCGCCGGCCATGATTTGCACCCCCCCCCTTCTTGGACGCCCCTCTCTTGGCCTCTCTTGGACAGACCTCCTACCCTGACACGTCGATTTAGGAATTGGCCGTTTCCGGTTCGCGAGAGGGCGTCGCGGCCGTCATTTTTGCGGGTCGAGGTCCGTCGGTTTCGGTCCCGGGCCGTCTTCTCTAAAGGGAGGTTTACTAAAGGGAGGTTTTTCCACCGCCGAGAATGGCCCCAGGGACAGAGTCGACACCTCTGGGCGTCCGCGTTGAAGATTGCTTGGCGCCGCCAGCACGAGGATGTGACCTGGCGGGCAAGGCGAGCCGGCCTCTGCATCAAGGGAAAAGCCCGTGCCAATAGTCATCAGTGGTCCAGTGGTTTCATTCGTTTTTGCCCTTTGGGGCCTCCTGGGGCCCCTCGTCGCCACGGCTGGGTTCGCTTCGGAGTTCAGGGTCAGCACCACCAGAGAGGTCCTGGGATAAGCGACCTTGCGGACACGGCGAGCAGGCCTCTGAACTAGGCGGACATCGTTTAATAACGTGGACGGCGTAGGCCATAATAAGCCACAGGCATGACCGTTCGGAGGTCCACGCGAATCTCTTAGGTCGGCGCCAGACCCCCTCAGATGCTCAAACACCTCCAACATGAAGGTTCGACATCCATTCTGGAGGTGCTTCTCCTCCATTGGATTGCTTTTTCCTCCAAGGCGGACTTTCTACACCCCCGCGCAAAGGGTCGGAGGCCCGCGCGGATCTCTCAGGTCGGCGCCGGATCCCACATCCCGCAAACCTGCCCCTCACTCCCACCGTGAGCAATTTTCATCTTGAGCGCCGAGCGGTCCTAGGATGGTTGAAAGACGTGGAAAACAATGTTCATCATATTTCATACGATACGCAGCACGCCCGTGATCCTGTCCACTCCCTGGCGCGCCCCAGGCTGCGCCAGGGGCGCGGCGCCAGGGGCGCGGCGCCAGGGGCGCGGCGCCAGGGGCGCGGCGCCAGGGGCGCGACGACAGAGGCGCGACGACAGAGGCGCAGCCAGGGCTCGTAGGGACCCTGGCACACTCAAGAGTACCTTCCGCCGCAGTGACCTTTGGTGCGCGGCTTCCGAGGGGGTGCGGGGCGGCCAGACCCCAGCGCGCAGGCCGCTGCTGTGGCATCAGGTTCCGTGGACGCCATGCCGCACGCCCAGATTCGCCCCTGCCCCGGTGGCCGTTCCTGCGCGTGGCTACCGGGGGGGGGAGGCGGGAACGCTCTCCACCGAGGGGGGGGCAACAACCAGCGGCGGCCGAAGAGCGGGCAGCGGCAGAGCTGGCCGACGTCCAGGCCGCCCCAGAGGGGGGCCAGAGCAAAGGGGGTCCGGAGGATCACTATCCAGGCGCATCGTGGATGCATCGGCGACGCTGCGCGCTCCGTAGCCGGATTTTCTCCATACCGACGTCGCCGATGCATCGGCGATGCGGCGCGGTCTTGCGGCCCCATTTGCTTAGCCTGATATGGGGTGGCGGGTTTCTGGAGGCCACCCAGAGACCCGAGGACAAGCAACGTCAAAACATCTAAGTCCTTCTCCTCGCTGCCCCAGTTGGGCGGGAAGTCTCTGGAGGCCCTGAGGGGGACAATTACAAAAGCCGCCGCTGCGGTCTGACCGCTCGAAATGTACACCCACTAACTAAGCATGCTAGTTCTAGCGCATGCAAGCGCACGCCCAAATCATACTGCGCAGACGGCGCGCTGAAAGTGCGAGATACGAGTTCTGCGACCTAACACCAAGACAGCAACCCAATGAACCTGTACTGCAGAAAACAAGCCTGCGGTTGTGGTGCATACATCTGAGCCCCGTACTGTCCACTGATGGGTTGACTGAGTGTGCGCTCAGACCCACTGGGTAGGAGGAGGAGGAGGCAAGCAGAAGAGGACTTGGCTGCGGACGCGATGTACTGCCTCAGTCCATCGCGTCAGTCACTCTTCTCCTACGTTGCCCGCTGGGCAGCTACTGTCAAAGCTTTTGTTGACTTAGGCAGTGAAGAGCGCTTTGGACGCCTGGCATCCCAGTCCGCCTTTTAGCAACTTCTCCCTTTCCGTCTTTCACACGCGCATGTGCGCCACACTTGGTGCGCGGCGTCCCATAAGTATTGCAATGAAGCCGCAAATTGGGAAATGGCGCTAACATGCGGATGCCCAACTAGCGCGGAGAATAAATCTGGAAGTTGTGCCGCGAAGCGCTGGAGATGTAACACCTGCACGTGTGGAGGGTGATTCCTCCTCGGAATGGGGCTCTCGCCCGAGGCTCCCTCACACTTGATGACCAGGTGTGCTATCCGATGCAACAGTTGCACGGGCGAGGGGCGGTTCCGATTGACAATGGCGCTCGCTGGAAGGATGCAGCCTCTTTGAGAAGCCGCAGGGGGAGGCCTGGGCCGCTCGCGCGCTCGCCCCAGGCGCCAGGTGCCGCCGAGTCCGTGGACATGGGCAGCTGCGCGCAGTGCTCTCCGGGCTGGGGTCGACGCGATGTCGCCGGCGTCGTCCCAGACCTCCAACGAGAAAATGGATGCTGAGGATTTTTTCGCCGTTTTCGGCCTCTGGTGGCCCTCGCCGGGGGCCCCAAGTCCGTCAAAGAACGGCTCCGGGTGAACGAAACCGAACTGCCCTGGGAAAGAACGTGCAGACAAAAATAATGCGTCGGATCTTCTGAGTCGCCGCCGTGCATGTCTCTCCTTCGCTTTGTCCCCCAGGACCAGGAGGAGGAGGTGGAGGAGAAGGAGGAGGAGGAGGAGCAGGAGGAGGAGGAGAGGAGGAGGAGGAGGAGGAGGAGGAGGAGGAGGAGGAGGAGGAATAGGAGGAGGGAGGGGAGGAGAGAGGGGGAGGAGGAGAATGGGGAGCAGGAACAGGAGGATCAGGGGGAGGAAAAACAGCATACGAGGAGGAGGATGAGGAGACGGAGGCGGAGGAGGAGGAGAAGGAGGAGGAGGAGGAGCTGGGGAGGGGTCCCTGTAGTTTTCCGGAGCCTTGCAAAGGCCCCGGATGCCCGATTAGGGCCACCAATGTTTAGTTCTTCTTTCAAACATGTTTTGCCCAGTTTGGTATGACCGCGGCATAGTTCTTAAGCCCCACTGCTTGCCATCGCTCGGACGTGTGCATTTCTTCTCGGCGAGGACCATCGGGGGGCATCTAGAATCGTGCGATAAATAAACGCGCGAAGCCGACAAATGCACGGGGAATGGACGTCCGAGCGATGGCGAGACTAAGGCATCTTGCTCCCGCGCGCCACCCCCTGTGGTTTCAAAACTCCCCCCAGCCAGGGCGGCGGCCCTGGTTGGGCTTTGATGGCAAGCCAATTCGGAAATAGTCCTGAAGCCAAGCTACCATTTCGGGAGCCACAATCTGAGGTCGCTTGTTGCGACCCGTGCAGCAAGTCGTTGTCATCATCATCATCATCATCATCATCATCATCATCATCATCATCATCATCATCATCATCATCATCATCCTCATCTCATCATCCTCATCCTCATCCTCATCCTCATCATCCTCCATCACCATCCTCATCCATCATCCTCATCTCATCATCCTCATCCTCATCCTCACCCTCCATCACATCATCATCATCATCATCATCATCATCATCATCATCATCATCATCATCATCATCATCATCATCATCATCGTCATCATCATCATCATCATCATCATCATCAGCAGCAGCAGCAGCAGCAGCATCTTCCTCGAGGATGGCTGTGCGAATGTCGCATGCTCACAGCTCCGGGAGCCGTCAAAATCGTCCCCAGACGCCCAAAATAGCCCCAGGAGGGGCCCCGGCGGAGCGGGGCCTGCGCCGTGGGAACCTCAGCGCGCCCGCCCGCCACGGGGGCGGCCCTGCGCCTGAGTGGCATTCCCAGAGATCCAGCAGATCGCGACGGCCGGCTGTTCGCCATCTCGGCCCTTTGCGGAGGCCGGTTCTGGGCACCGGAGCCGTCACAAGCTGCTTCGGGATGGAAGGCTGGCCCCCGGGAGGGGGTCGAGAGGTCTAGCGGCCCACGTCTCGAACAAGACGCGCCGCTGGATCTCTGGGATGGGCCCACTGTCGGAACTACGCGGAAGTGACCATTCGCCAAAGTAACCTTGGGTGCGGGCCCACAGAGGCCCTCCCCAGCATTGGCTGGCGCGCGTAAATTTGCTCCCCCCGCGGCCCCTCCATTAGTAAAGCATGTGAGAGCTCGGGCAGTGCTCAAGGGGGTCACTACCTCCTCCTCCTCCTCATCCTCCTCCTCATCCTCCTTGTCCTCCTCCTTGTCCTCCTCCTCCTCCTACTCCTCCTACTCCTCTTTGTCCTCCTCCTTGTCCTCCTCCTTGTCCTCCTCCTCCTCCTCCTCGTCCTCCTCCTCCTCCTCCTCCTCCTCCTCCTTGTCCTCCTCTTCCTCCTCCTCCTCCTTGTCCTCCTCCTTGTCCTCCTCCTCTTCCTCCTCCTCGTCGTCGTCCTCCTCCTCCTCCTCCGTAGCCCTTTTGGCTCAAGGCTAATGCTTTGGCGGGCTGAGCCCGCCTTGGCAGAAACGGATACCGCTAGTCCGCGGCAGCTTTCATCCTTCTTGCGAGGCCTGGTCCGCCCCAGATTCTCGCGTGCGGCCCCAGGGGTCAGCACAGTCTTGAGCACGGCTAGGCCCAGCGCGGGCCGTGTTCAGCAGCAATGGGCAGGCACCAACAGCACGGCGCTCATGGTTACGTGGTTTGTCCTCAAGATGGTTGCCGCTACAAGTGGAACTGGAAGAAGCATGCAGCATGTTGGCAATGTGGAGGACTGCTACGCCCAGTCGGCGGTCAGCCACCGCCTCGTGATGCAGGCTCGTGGAACAAGAGCCCACCAGCGATGGCCAACTTCCAGTACTCCCAGCAGCCGCCAAGCCCCTTCGTGCAGCCTCCGCCTGGGCAGTGGGCACAAGGCACAGCCGCAGCGTCCCATGCCAGAGCAGCCAGCATCGGCGACGGTACCACGCATCCCTTCGCCCCAACCACCAGCAGCTCATGGAGGCGTTGCAGTGTCGCTTGCCGCAGGCAAGCGCCCAGCTGGAGGCTCTCAAGCAGGTCGCGGCAGCTTCAGATGTGCCGCCACCGCCCGCAGCCAATGCCAAGCCTGACTTGGAGCGACTGCGGGAGGCCCAGCGTCTGGCAGTGGCTGCGCGAAGGCTGATGAAGCTCTGGCAAGGGCCATCAGTCACGAGAACGAGTGCGTGCTCTGGCTCCAGAAGGCACAGGGTGCAGTTCAGTCAGCCGCACAGGCCGCGGCAGATGCACGCCTCGCCCATGAACAGCAGCTCGATGAGGACCTCAAACGTATCAAGCAACGTGACGGAGCACAGCGTCCACCCACAGCGACATCGAAGTTCAACTTGTCGCATTTTTTTGCTGGAGGATGGCGATGCGCTCGACCAGATGTTCGAGTGGGGGGATGGAGAAGCTTTCGACTTCTCCGAGCTCGACCTCGCCCCCGAGGACGTCGCTTCGTGGGGGCAGCACAAGGCCACGCTGGTGAAGGAGGTCAAGTCGCTCATCAGCCAGGCCGTGGGACCAGCAGCAGCTCAACTCGGAGCACGTCGCAAGGAGCTCCAGGAGTTCGAGGCACGCATGGCCACCAAGCGACGACGCGTCGACGGCCAGGGAGGAGCAGCAGCAGCAGCTGGCGAAGCTCGTGAAGCCCCAGCCAGCCCAGAGGCCGCACCACCACCAGGCGACGACGGCCCCACGGCCGAGGCCCCCCCGGCGAAGGCGCCGCCGACTGCAGGCCCTGCAGCGCCAGCGGCAGCAGCAGCATCCTCGGCATCAACATCATCAGCTGGGAGGGGCCGCTGAGCAGGCGGCCCCTGCAAGGCCGCCGCCCAAGGCCTCGGCAGACAAGGTCCAGAGGCTTCTGGGGGCGGCCAGGGCAGGGCCAGAGCCCCCCACGGCGGCAGCTTTCGCCAAGGGAGCCTCTAGCCAGCAGGAGCCGCGTGGGCGACGCGGTCAGGATCTACCCCAGGACACCGCGCGCCCAACAGACTGATCGATCTGCGCGGCGCCTCGTGCTCCGCAATCTTTCTCTATGGGGGGACAGGAGTGCTTCACTTGCTGCAGAGAGTGATGCAGACATCATCATCATCATCATCATCATCATCACACCCGAGACGCGCTTTCTGGAGAGCGACGCACATGATGTTCTGAGCACGCTCAAGCAGCACAAGTGGCACGGCGTGGCATCACCGGCATATCCCATGCAGCACGTGCAGAAGGCAAGCGGCATTGTTTTCGGCATCAGGCAGCATCTTGCATGGTCCTCTTTTCGGCATTTGACTGACGACCCCGCCAGTGCGATAGGCCTCGTGGACATCGGAACATCATCGAAGGTTTTGTGTCCGCTTTCTTTCAGAGACGTGGTCGCCGTCGAATGGGAGGTATCCAGAGTTTCTCTTTTGGTGAGTGGGGCATGCCTTGCTGTCTCTGTGGGGTTAGATAGCCCATGCAACATCAGCAAGCTCCTCGCGATACCTGCTTTGATGCACATTCATGCTGGACCTTGGGTTGTCATGGGAGATTCCAATGCAACGCCACTTGAGTTGGAAGCCTGGATACGCAAGTGGAATGGTCAGTTTTATATCCCACCAGGCATCGCTCATACTTCCACGAGGGGCAAGGGGCAGCGCATCATTGACTACGCCGTCGCCTCCCCCCCCCCCCCCTCCCTCGATTTTTCAGCCCTGTACCACGATGCAATTCAGGTTGACGCGCAGGGCGGGGGCCATGGCGGCACGATGTTGAGAGTTTGTGTGACAGCTTAGCAGACGCCCAAGCGTACTTTGGATCTACCCAAGCCATTTCTACCACCGCTGCCGAGCAAGATCAAGGCGGACCCGAACAGCAAGCGTTCAAGAAAGAAACCCGAGCTGCAGGAGCGGCAGCAGCACGATAACAAGATCAGGCAGACTCTCCATGACGACTGCTACGGAGACGAGGACGAGGAAGTCTTGGCTCAGCCCCAGCAGGTGCAGACCTACACGAAATACCCCGAGGAGGTGCGCAGGTCCTTGCACAGAGTTTACGTCGATGTTGATTCTTACGCTTTGTTGATGCTGTGGCAGTCGCATGTCAATGATGCCAAACCAGTTGAGGCCAGGAATTTCGATGATGATTGTCACCCAGCAAAGTGCCCTCAATGGAGCAATGAGGATTTGGACGAACTCTGGAATACCATCGACGGCAACACGCTCCAGCACCGAGCTTGGCACATGCCGCCAGAATGGATTCAGGACAGCATATCATTTCAATATGCACCAGAAACGGCCAAGTCTCTGGTACGAGGACACGGCCGCTTCACCAACGACTTCGAGGGCTTCCTTTGTCGAGTCCTGGAGGTCCCACCCGAGCGTGCACGGCAATGCAGAGGACGGGGTGGGGCGAGATGTTTCAAGTTGATGCTTATTTCACAGCCGACCCCTCCTCGAGCACATTCCGATAGTT